TGAATAAATGCTATAATTTATTTTTTATTATTATTATATTTTTTTGGATTTATTTTTCAAGTATAAACTATCATATGAATAGCATTTACTGCAATGCATTAAAAATAAATAAATAAATAGATAATTATTATAATCAGTGTTTGACTTATAGATTAATGATTATTCACATTCATTATTATTATTATTATTTGGTCTAAAATTTCAATTAATTTTATAAAAATTTTTATACTATTGTTTAGCTCTCTGTCTCTCTCTCTCTCTCTCTCTCTCTCTCTGTCTGTCTGTCTGTCTGTCTCTCTCTCTCTCTCTCTCTCTCTCTCTGTCTCTCTCTCTCTCTGTCTCTCTCTCTGTCTCTCTCTATCTATCTCTCTCTTTCTCTCTCTCTGTCTCTCTCTCTCTCTCTGAAAAATCATTAATAAATTTTTAGACATTTTTCATTGAGAATATTCTCAAAATGTTTTTATAWTTAGATTTATTTTTATATAAAAATATTAATAATTTATCATATATTATACTTTATGATGAAATATATGGTTATAAAACATTTGTTCATTAATTTAGTATTATTTGTTTTCATCAAAACAAAACAAAAATTGGCACATAATTTGCTAAATAATTTATTTAGTGGTCACACATAAAAATTAGGCTATTATTAGGCTTTCAATAACAACCAAAAATTTTTTATTATTTTAAATATCTATCATATAATTGTTGAATAACAAAGAGCTTTATTTTATAAAAAATAAAAAATATTTTTTTTTAAATATTCATATATGGTTATTATCATTATTATTATTATCATCATTATAATTATTGTTATAAAATAAAAAGATTAATTTATTAATATATGTTTAACATTGTCAAACATATTTTTTTGTTATTATTATAATTATAAATCTAAATAATGATTAATAGATTTGTATTTTAATTAAATAATTTTTTTAATAGTTTTTCCAATTATATTTCTATTAATAGATTTATGTGTTTAGTTTTATGAATAAATTTTTGCTATTGTTTAGGATTATAATAATTTCCATTATTTATAATAAATATTTATTTGAATTTATTAATCATATTATAGAATAATATATTTTATAAGGATTTTTTAAAAATTATTTATAAATTATATAATACTCTAGATTTAAAAATTATAATAAATTCATGATAAAATTATATTTAGAAATTTAATTATTTTTATATATATATATATAAATTTTATCATTACTATTATTTTTATTATAGAATATTCTGATAATATTAATGATAAGTTTATATATATATATACCGTATATATATATATATATATATATATATATATAATACATATGATTATGATAAATGTCATGACAAAAGTCATAAAATTGTGATCAAACAAATAATAAAATTATCTATCAATAGGATATATACAAGTTATATAGATTTGCTGCTCAGGCATAACGTTAGGCATAATTTTTTTTATAGATTAGGTAGGAGTGAGTGATAACAAAAAATAATATTACGGTATATACAGAAAAATCTAATTTACTCTATAATATAATCAAAATAAAATGACATCAATGTTATTAAGCATTGCTTTAACATTGATTATTATTATCATTATTATTATTCTTTATATTATATATATGACATACAAGAATCTACATATTGATTGCTTTTTTGTATATATATATAGTTTTTTTTATTAAAAAGGAAATTATAATATATATATAGTAGACATAAATAGCAAAATTTAATACAACTGTGCGATAAAAGTGATGTGCAAATCACTCATTAATGTCTCATAAATTATTTTCTACCCAAACATACAATACATACATACACACACACACATACACACACACACACACACACACACACACACACACACACATTCACACACACACACACACACACTTACATACATACATACAATTATATATGAAAATTTTTATATTATTATAATGATTATGTTATGTATTTTTATCATTAAGATTATTATTATTAGTATTTAAAGTGGATTTTAATGTAAATTAAATTTTAATGAAGTTTTCTTTTTATATTACAGTATAGTTTTGTTTCTTTACTACTAAGCTTATCATACGATACTATCTTTTTTTTAGTGAAACTTTATGCTAAAGATTATATATATATTTTTTTGTATTATATATTATTAATATAATGTTGTAAATACTGTTAAGCAATTATTTTATAGAAATTTTATTTTTAGGTTTATATATACAGTTTATTATATTTAATTTATTATTTGCTGTCAAAAAAATTTATAACAATTAGTTGGGCGTTAGTTGTCATTTAGTATTTTTTCTTATTATTATTATTATTATTATTTCAGTTATTTTATATACAGTATTAAGTTAATATAATTTATTAATTCAATAGACATTTGATTAGTGTCTGTTATTTTTATTTTATTATAGTCACAATTGATTTTAGTATATATATATATATCTATATATCTTATTTATTAGTATAATTTTATTACTATTTGATTTGTGTGATATATAATACTTTATTATATATATATATATAATATAAATTTTATAGGATTTATGTTTTAGGAAATATACTGACTAATATTTGTTTTATTAATATTTACAATATATTATTATTATTATTATAAATATACTTAGATTTTTTTACTGCACGAAACAATAAGATAAACTATATATTATAACTGATTTTCTATATATATATATTATTATAATTTAATTTTAACTTAAAAATCAAATTTAATATACAATTCAATTTTAAAATCAATTAAAAAAATATTATAAAACGTTTTTTTTAAATAATTTATTATTTTTTATTATGTCTAACAAAGTCATTGAAATTGTCACTGAAAATAATAATAGTAATAATAATAATAATAACAAGTATGTACTGTATGTTATATATATTTATTGTACCCATAATTTTCATTTATTATATAGGGATTTATATAAAAATTTATTTTATTATAATATAACACATAAACACTATGGCCTCTAAAAAAATATATAAAGTAAATAATCTCATTGAGTGTAATATACGAGTATTTGTGTGACACTTGAAGTAAATCCCCAATAATAGCTATACATATATTATATTTATAATATTAAAAAAAAATAAAATATTTTACTGTATTTACAGTATTTACTAGTATCCCATATTTTAAGTTAATGTTATTTAAATTATCATTATTAGGGTAGTAGTAGTAGTAGTAGTAGTAGTAGGTGTAGTATTATTTATTGATAAAAAAATATATTTTGACTTAATATTTTAAATAGTGTCCGAAATTTTTTTTTTTTATAAACGTGACCTACATATTAGGTATAATATAACATAAGTTTAATCAATAGAGAGAGAGAGAGAGAGAGAGAGAGAGAGAGAGAGAGACTCATTGATTGCAATAACTATTTACAGTATATTGAGTATTGATTTGTCACTCAATTATTAACACAACAGAGTGTTTTGTCAGTAAAAAAAAGTCATTAAATCACTTATATTATTGACATTTAGTAGCTTATGTTATGTACGGTAAATCACATATAAACACATACACTGGTAATACATGCAAACATACAGTTATATACTGTATTAGAAATCTTTATTTTTGTATTTTCTGTCAAAAAACGTGTCGTGTCTTTCAATTTTTTTGCCATCAATTGCTTGAAATGACATGAATGCGTAATATATATATATATATATATATATATATATATATAAATGTATATATATTTCTAAGATATAATTCCCCGAAATACATGACATCTCTTCAACACATATAATACCAGATAATATATTTCTCTCTCTCTCTCTCTCTCTCTCTCTTTCTCTGTTACTTAAAAACTAAACATATCACATATTTTGATGGCTGTCTGTCATGAGTGAGTGTGTGTTTATGAGAGAGAGAGAGAGAGAGAGAGAGAGAGAGAGAGAGAGAGAATTTATAATAAATATTAAAATTTGTTTTTTACTGTTTGGTTTGTTTATACCATTCAAACATATGCTGGAAATGATTGAATAATGCAAATATCTAGACATTAATACAAGATTTTGATGTATGTGTTTGTATGTATGTATGTATGTATGTATGTKTGTGTGTGTGTGTGTGTGTGTGTGTGTGTGTGTGTGACAGTGAGTTTTTTGACATTTTTCATATATATATATTATTAAATATTTTGCAATTTATTGCAGCCTATCATACGAAAATATCATTTATTTTTTCTAGTATAGTAAAAAACATTTACATTTAATATTATTAATATTAATATAGTATATTAAGTTATCATCATTAAATTATATATATATATTTAAAATATATAATTATACTGTTGTGTAATATATTGTATTCAAAATCATTAGTTTACAAATTAGACTTAATCATAATGATTTGTTTTTTTATAATGATAAATATCAATTTTATTACTTAATATATATATATATATATATATTAAATTTGATTATTTATATATAAATTTATATTAATTAACATTGAAATGAATTTTATAATTATGTTTATTATAAAAAAAATTATATACAATAATATTCTTGGTACTTTTTTGTGCAGTATATAATTATTTAACAAATTATTTATTTATTTTAAATAATTATTTTACTTATAATTATTTAAATTTCATAGAAAATTATTATTATTATTATTATGAGTTATAATAATTTTTTTAAAAAAATACTTTAATTACGTAAAAAGACATAATAGTTTAATCTCAATTAAATTATAAATATTAGTAATTAAAATTATATTATTTCTATACTAATAATAATAATAATTAAGTGTAATTAGTTAAACAAATATTTAACAATTTTTTAATATTTATTATGACATATATAAATTATTTATATTATTTTGCGATATACTGTATATGCGATTACCCTATAAATACTAAATTATTATTTTTAGTTAAATTATTTACATTTGRTTTTTCTTATACATGAAATTATAAATAATAATAATATTATTAATAATTTATTTGTTTTGTTGTTGTTTTATAATTAATTAACAGATCGTAAGGCATGGCTTTCCCCATCAGCCGACAGCCGTAGCCTTTGATCCGGTCCAGAGACTGATAGCTATTGGCACCAAAACGGGTTCACTGCGTATACTGGGCCGACCCGGTGTCGACATACAAGTACAACACATACCGGCCTACGCTGTAATGCAGATCATATTTATGGTAAACAATGGCCAACTGTTATCGGTTTGTGCCGACGATAGCATACATTTGTGGAGTTTGACGGCTAAGCCGCCGGAAGTGATCCATACAATCAAGTTTCAAAAAGAAAGGTATGTTTTTTTGTTTGTTTATAATTAATAATAAATTTATTTTATTTTTTGTTTTAATTATAACTAAACTATTTGTGCCATTATTTATGTATTTAATAATAAATAATTATAATTTAATATATATATAGTTTGTTTAACACTCGATGTCGTATTTTGATACGTTTTTTGTAACGGTATTTGTGAATAGTATTTTACAAATATCATATTGTTTTCTGTTTGTAAACACAAGTAGACATATCAATCAAACATTTGTGATAACAATATGTCCACCGAAGCTGACCAGTCTCCCGAAGAAGAACATATTCGGCATTGTATTTTATACGAATTTGATCGAATGAAGAAATTGGGCCGAATTAATGCCACCGAAGCGACAAAACGGATCAATGAAGTATACCCCGAATCAATTGGTGTTCGAAAAGTTCAGAGATGGTTTGATCGATTTAAATCGAATGACAGATCTCTTGTGGATAAGAGTCGAGGACACCCTACTATTGTCATCGATAATGAAGTTCTTTTGAAAGAAATAGAAGCGGATCCGAGGCAAACTCTTCACGATTTGTCACATAAGTATGGGGTTTGTCGAACTACAGTATATAACCATTTGACCGAAATTGGCAAAGTATATAAAATCGGAAAATGGGTACCACATGATTTGTCACCCGAACAAAGAGCCAATTAGAGACATGTCGACGTTTGCTGTCAGATCTCAAAGACGTTCCATTTTTGGAACAAATAGTGACAATGGATGAGAAGTGGGTGTATTACGAAAACCCTGTCATAGGTGGTCAATGGGTCGATCCTGAAGAACCTGCGATACAGACGCCGAAAAGAAACCTCAATCCTATGCTGTGTGTTTGGTGGGATTGGATTAGTATTATTCATTATGAAGTTCTCGAATATGGTCGGACGATAACATTGAGCTCTATTGTCAACAATTGGATATTATATTGATGGTAAAACGTCCAAGATTAATTAATTGTAATAGGATTAGATATCAAAGAGACAACGCGTCGAGTCATACTTCAAGAATGACTCAAAATATATATATATACTCTCCAGACATCGCACCTTCAGATTATTATTTGTTCCGAAATTTACAGACGTTTCTTAATGGAAAAACATTCACTGGAATCGATGATATCAAAAAAACCATCGATGAGTTTTTTTCTCAATCAAAGGACTACTTTCAGAAGGGGATTATGGCTTTGCCTGAAAAATGGCAGAAAGTCATTGCTAATGATGGACATTATATAGATAATTAAATTTTATTGTATAATGGTTAATTTTACATTTGAAATATTAGAAATAAAACGACACCAAGTAATGAACAACCCATATATATATATATATATACTATAAATATATTCCAATTTATAATAAGTATAATAWTTTTTTCTTTTAAGTTTAGTATTTATGATATTTAAATTAATAATATTTTTTTAAATTATAACTTATTTATATAATRAAATGGTTTTATTATCTTAAAATATTTAAAACACYTAAATTTTATAARTTGTCATTTAATATTGTTAAATTACTGTATAATAAGCCWTAAATTGTCTACTATATTATAATATATATTATAGTAAATGAAAATAATAATAATAATAATAACAATATAAATAAAATCTTATAAAAGTATTATAATTTAAAGTACTGATTAGGACGACATCATTATTATATTAGATACTCTATTATTATGTATTATTATTATTATTATTATTATTATATAATATACTATAGATATGTACTATAAGTGTGTGTTTTGTATAATAAGCCATTCATTTAGCTGATAATCTCATTGTTGTAGTTGTTATCAACCGCTTTCACACAAATAAATGTAATTAAATATATATTAGTATATTATATATACACTGTATATTGCTATACTAAATATATAATAAATTTATCACATAAATTAAATATATTTATATATTATTTTGGTATAAAAGTGATGACATAATAACGATAGTGTTTACGTATATACTCTATATATATATATATGTTTTACATAAATATCCAATTATTTTATAATTATATTAATTTTATTCAATACTTATAATAAATAAATGTCATAATATAATGACTTAGATTTTTTGTTTGTTTATATTGTTTATGCTTATAACATACATACATACAAACTAACATAAAAATAAATTTCGCTTATCGTACATAAGATTATCATTAGTTTTATTGACTATCTCTTAATATAACTGTATAGCTGTATATATAGTACAGTAAAGAAAATGTCCAGTAATTTATTTGTCACAGATTTAAGTGCATGTATTTAGTTATATATATATATATATATATATATCTGTATGTATGTATGTATGTGTTTGAATGTGTGTGCAATTTTAAGAAAGATTTTTATTATATTCAGTAGTTTTTTGCTTCTCATTTTGAAAATCACTGGCAATTTGCATAATTTTATAGCACTTATAGCATAGAGACGACAATGAAAGGGACAATCACATACATACACACACACACACACAGAGAGAGAGAGAGAGAGAGAGAGAGAGAGAGAGTCCTATATATGTTTATTGTTGAGCACTGGTAGAGTAAATTAATGATTGTCTTGTTTGCTACTAAATTACCTTTTGTTTTATTTATTTATTTATGTGAATCGCTTTCTCATACATACATTTACTGGCAAATACACTGACAGAGAGAGAGAGAGAGAGAGAGAGAGAGAGAGAGAGAGAGAGAGGAAATAATTATATACAGAATATTCTGTATTCTTGATATACTGTATATAAAGATTTTTTTTTGCAATTCATATTCTAATTGAATGAGAATTATTTAGATTACATTTAATTCCCTGATTTTGATTTTAATTTTGTTTTTTTTATAAATTTTTGTTTTGTTTATTTCGTTTGTTTTTAGTGATTGTGTGTAACTGTTTGCATACAGACTATTATTTTAATTAAAATTAAATGAAAAAAAATAAAATAAACTATTTTTGTTTAACTAAACAATATAAATAAATAGTAAATATTGTAAATTTAATAAATACATTGTATTTTAGATTTTAAAATATAAATTTAAAAAACATTACATTTGTGTCCATTTAATATATATAYATATATATATATATTATATATATAACTTTACTAAAAAATGTATAATAATAAACTAGAAATTTATTAGATTATATATATATAGTAATTAACAATAAATTAAATAACAAACTAAACAAAATTTAAATATTAAATTTCAAACTCAAAAAATTTCAAAGACAACAATAAAAGTTGTATAATATTATTCAATATGAAAAAAATTATATAATAAATTAGTTTGTAATACAATATAATAAGCAAACAATAACATCAAAAAACTGTATGAGTTTTATTTAACATTTGTTTGAGTCTAAAATTGATCCAATAGGCCGTCTACAGTGTAGACTCTACACACACACACACACACACAATCCCTGTCCAAACCCCTAACTAACTAACTAACTAACTGTGCGCTATGCACTGGTATTTACTTGTATTGTTATTTATTATTATTATTATTATTATTATTTATAATAACATTGGTGTGTAGTTTTATACTTGATTTTTCAAACTAATTTAATCAAAATTGCCTCAAAGCTTCAAACATAACATTATGTATATATATATATTTTTTTTGTTAAATTATTATAAATACTTAAATTAATAATACAGTAATAATAATAATAATAATAATAATTTTAATAAACATTCAGTATATTATAATAGTTTAGTTAAACAAGAGTTTTGATTTTATAGAAAGTTTTATTAAATAAATTATTTTTTGTTTATTTATTTTTCATTTTATTGGATTATTATTATATTGTATATTAATTTTAATGAACAAACTGTATTACTATTATTACTATTATATTTATTATGACTTTAAAGATAATTTTAGTCAATTTTCTTTGTAATAATGATAAAAATAAATTATTATTATTATTAATAATAATTACATATTTATATACACATAATATTAACAGTTTTTAAGCCGATTTGCATTTTTATGAAATAACTATTTTTATTATAATTAATTAATAAATTTTTATAGATAATTGTGTTTATTTAAAGTTATTTAATACTATATTTTTTTTTAAATATAAATTAATATAATTTATTACACATATTATATTTAAACAAATAAAAATTAGATTTTTATTTTAATAAAAAACATTTAATTAAACAAACAAAAATAATTATATTATAATACTAATTATTTTTATAATTATTATTTTWTATATATATATAATTAGGATAACCTACTGTCATCTAACCTTCCAAAGCAAATGGCTATACGTGGGCACCGAGAGGGGCAATGTTCATGTGGTCAATGTAGACACACTGCAACTGTCCGGCTATTTAATCAACTGGAATAAAGCCATCGACTTGTATGTATAATAGTATATATCTAACATACCTGTGCTAACACACACAAACTACTAATAATATTAATTGAATTAATTTTGTTTTAATAATGTATTTGTTTTCAAAATTATTTTCATAATCTCCTAACACACACACACACATCCCATATAGATCACGTAAAACACATCCCGGTTCTATAGTACACCTATCCGACTGTCCCATCGATTCAAACAAACTGTTACTGGGCTACGAATCGGGTTGTATAGTACTATGGGATCTCCGTAGCAAATCGGCCGACTGGCGGATCTACTATCACGAGTCAATGAAATCGATTAGCTGGCATCACGATGGYCGGCAATTTATTGCCAGCCATACCGACGGCAGTGTTACCACATGGTCGGTCAGAGGTGGCCAGAAACCAGTTGCGGCTATTTGGCCACATTCGAAAGCGCCCAGTGATATGAAACCCGAACCGTGTCGGCCAATCTATAAGGCCGAATGGCGTACCGTTCGGACGGGCGAACCCTATATTGTCTTCTCTGGCGGTCTTCCCGTACATAATAGCGGCAATTCTGGCGGTGGTGGTTCGGCAGCGGCCAAATCTGCARCGGCGGCGGCGGCGGACAGTAGTAATAGCAAAACAAACGGTTCCCAAAGTTTGACAGTAATTCACGGAAAGGCTACCACTGTATTGGAAATGGAGGATACAATCATCGACTTTATTACACTATGCGAGTCGGCCTACGAGTCCGACTTTAACGATCCGTACGCTATTGTGGTGTTATTGTGCAACGATCTGGTTGTTGTCGACCTGTTAAGTCCCGGGTATGGTATCTATTGATTGATTGATAGCATATATATACTGTATATATATATATATATATATATATATATWTATTTATTTATTTTTTTGAAGGATTTAATTTATTTGTTACTTAAAAAAAAAGATTTATGTGTTTCTATAATTAATTGATTTTAGTGTTGTTGTTGTTATATATATATTTGTTTTTGTTTTATAATTGGTATTAACTTAAGATTGATTTATATATATATATATATATATATATATATATATATATATATATATATATATTTAGTTATATCATACTTGTTATTAATGTCTATTTAATACTAACATTTACACTAGTATTAAGGGCTCACCTATAAATATATATATATATATATATATATATATATATATACAGTATATACTGTTGAACATAACAGTGCCCAATCAGTGCACAGGTGCTGCTGAATCAATTAATTATTTGTCACACAATTATGACTTTTTTTATATATAAATAAATCTATAACTAATTTATCATCAGCACCTACCTAACTATCTGTAAATCTAGTAATAAAAAAATAATTTATTAGTTAATTAATTTAATTAATTAATTAATTTTTTTTTGTTACACATTTATTCTAAATAATTCAGGTATCCATGCTTTCATAATCCCTATTCAATGGATATACACGAATCACCCGTTACCTACTGTTACTATTTGGCCGACTGTCCTACCGATCTGGTCTATGCGTTCCTTACTGTTGGCCGCAAAACTAACAAACCGTCTGGATTTTCCGATAAAGAGTGGCCAATCAATGGCGGCGAATGGGGTAACTCAACGGTCAGCTACCCGGAGCTCATTATAACCGGGTATTTATATATACATGTTGTTTATATATATATATATATACAATATATATATTAGCTAAATATATGGATATTGTTTTATATAAGGAACAGTTAGCTCAATATGCATACACAATAAACAAGAGTTTTATTTTTTAGTTTTTTTGTTGTCTATTTGTTTGTTTTATTTTTTTAGTCTTATCTATTTTAATTATTTATACAATACTACCTGGATAAGTACATTGAATTTTCTCAATAATAATAATAATAATACAGTAATATATAAATGATACAATCAATTGACGTCAATACTATGTGTTGTATTATAATTTTTACTGATTGTATCCTAATATTTTATGTATTCAACTATATATATTGCAATTGCAATTGTAATTTACTGTATATATAATATGTATATATTTACATTACTATTGTGTTAGAAGTAAAAAAAACTACTACTCCTTTTAGTTGTCAGATATTTATTTTTTTTAATTAGTAGTTTTGTTGTTAATGCCTTTTTTATTAGACTAACTAACTAACTAACTGATCCCGTTTTGATTTGGATTTACAAACCTAACTGTCCATAATAAATAAAAATAAGCCAAACATTACTAAATATATCGGTTACATAGTATAGTATAGTTTATAWATGGCATTTTGAATTTTTTTATTTTAATTATAACTTTATATAATTATTAAAAATTTAATTTAACTACACTATGATAACTGAGATTATACTGTATGTATATATAAATATTATTTATATATTACATTTATATGTAAAGGACAGGGAGATTTTTTTATGATATGCAAACWCAAATGTTGGAATATTATTAATAGGAAATATTTTTTTATATATATATATATACTTATATAAATATTTTTAAAATATGCTATAAAATTGTTATAATATTATATATATATAATGGAAACATATCTAAAGTATGTATATATATAWAAACTATTTTATTCAAACATTTCATACAACAACAACAACAACAAAAAGGTTTAAATGAAACGGAAAATTATTTTATTATTATATATATTTTTCAATTTGATAGATATAAGAAAATTTTATATAAATATAAATAGTATTAAATACAAAAAAAATAGTAGTATTGTATGACATGTTTATGATAAGCATATTTATTATTAATATTATTACTATTAGTCATATTATATTCAGATATTATTCAAATATTATTCAGATATTAGCATTATGTTTGTTATTATCAAATATTAAGATTTTGTCAATAAAATAGAGAAAAAAATTCATATAATTTACTATAAAAGAAATATATTAAAAAATAAACTATTTTTTTGCGGTTTAATAAATAGCAATTGAATTAATTTTCTGGTTTTTATTATTTATTTTTAATATAATAAATTTTGCTATATTTTATTTTTTTTATTAATAATATTTGCGAGTTAATTGCATTAAGAGTACTTTATTATTTGATATAATAAATGATTTTTTTTTATATTAATACTTTACAATTTACTTAAATAATATATTAAATAAAATTTTTAAATGAGTAATATTTTTTGCATAWATATATAAAGATTATTAATAAATAAAAATTTTATTTTTATCTCAATGAAAATTAGTTTATTAGAAAAAGTTTATACTAAATATTAGCACAAATAATATATATATATATATATATATATATATATATATAATTATATTACATTTGATTTACACAATTATCATTAAATAATTAGATAAATACATATTTGTTTATTTATTTTTCAATTTACTTATGAAAATAATTTTTAATTAATTTGATTAAAATTAATATTTTTTTACTTTTTATTTATAAATTAAATTTTAAAAAAAACAATAAAATTATTATTATTATTTTAGTCATGCGGACGGTTCGCTCAAGTTTTGGGACGCATCGTCAGGTAATATACCCTTTAGTTTATAAATTTATATTTAAATTATTAATAATTTTTTATTAAAAAAAATACTAATATAAATATRTATATACTTTTATATAATAAAAAATAGAATTTTAGTTTTAATATAAAAAATTTATTATTATTAATATAAAAATTAATTTTAAAATAATAAAATTTTTATAATTAATTTGCAATGTTTTTTTTATATATAAAGTACAGTATTGTTTAAATGTTATAATAATTTTTATTTATTTATTTATCCATAATTATTGAGATCAACTATAATTTATTTTTTTTGTATTTATTTATTATTAGTTTGGTTAAATTTTATAACATTTAATAATAATAATAATAATAATAAGATTAATGATGATAATAATATTAATATTATATATAAAATGTAAACCTATTTAAAGGTATTTTGTTTTTAAAATAACAATTTTTCTATAATTTTATTACATGACTGACCATGGCAGTTTACTGTTAATATTATTATTAATTTAATGTAGTATTTTTTTGTAATAATTTTTTTTAAAATTTATTTTATTATATTTAAATAGTTTGTAGATAAATTGTAGTTAATAGCAGTATTACTAGTGTAGCGTCAAAATTAATTAAATAATTTATWTATATATATATATATTATCAACAAAGAAACAATTAGATGAGTTAACACACAAATTGCATTTGACTTATATTATTGTTTTATTATTATTATTTTTATTATAAAGATTATGGTATAAAATAATATAGCTTGAATACACACACACACAAGTTTATATAATATAAATATTTTTGTTTTATTTTTTTTGTTTTGTTTTTTTTTGGTTCAACATTAGTTATTTTGCTTATTATATTATATTTTTTGTTTTGTTTTATTTTTAATACAATTCAAGCAATTGTATGCAATTTGTACTATTTGTTGGTAACATATTTTGTTTTGTTTTGTTTTGTCTGAATGTTTTACATAATACTATTAACAAAAATAATAAAATGAATAATAAATTTAGTTTTTAGATTTTTTTTTATTTTGAGGGGAGATTTTATACTATAGTTTTTTTTAATACTATAGGTTGCATACAAAATACAGAATATTTTTTGCTAAACATTAATAGTTATGGATATATATTTATATGTATAACATTTGTTTTGCATGTAAAATGATTTTTGTCTTATATTTTGCAAAATAAAACAATTCCAGAATATTCTGTATATTATTTTATGGTTTTACACAATTTACTGTAGGTTTTTGAGATAAATTTCAATTTGAATTTCTAATATATAAATAATAATAATAATATTATTAACTATAGAAATAGTATAACAAATTATATAAAACACAATTTTCTAGACAATGTATTTAGATATATATATATATATATATATATATATATATATATATATATATATATATATTTAGATACATATGTATTGTATAAAATTTAAATGTTTCTATGTATACTATAAATTTAAGATATATATATTTAATTTTAAGCCATATAGTTATTAGCTAAACGACAAGATATATGTAATATATAATTTTTTATTTTAAAAAACACAAAAACATAAATTATTTATAAGATAAAATTATAACATAAAATTTAAATATCATTATCTAATTGTGGATTATATTATAGTATTAGTGTTTTTTCCCCAAAAAAATAATTGTTTGTTTTTTGTTTATTATTATATTATATCTTAAAATAATATCTATTTTTTCTAATAAATATTTTTACAGTACATTTGCATCAATTATATAAACTGAAAACATCAAAACTGTTTGAAAAGCCAAAAGTGGTYAACAAATCGGCCGGTGATTTGTCTGCCGGTGCCGAGTCTGGGGTCGGCCTACAAGAAAATGACGACCCGTTTGCCATCGAACAGCTAACCTTCTGTACGGACACCAAATACCTGTGCATTGCTGGCGCCAGTTCTCAGGTGATTGGCTTCAGGTTTAGCAAACATGAGACACATACGGAAATACCGGTTAGTTTTGTTTAGGTTTTTGGTGACAATTATTGATATTGTTTTTTGTTTTTTAATAAATTATTTCAATAATAATAATATCTGATTGATATACTGTAGATGTTTGTTTGTTTAGCATTTTATAAAAGTTGTGATTTATTTTTATTTATTTTTTTGGTTATTATAAAATATGATATATGTTTCATATCATATACTGGTATATGTTTAGTTAGATATTTTTATGGACACATATTACCAGTTAGTGTACTGTATAGTGAATATATATATATATGAATATATTATTTTGTATGAGAGATAGAATATTCTGTAAAAATATCTATTATTTTGTGATGGTTAAAACATCACTTAAGCGCTTCCAAAGACAAATTAAAATATAAAGTTAACTTTAGATATAACTAATTTATACTGTACATATTTATGCTATTATGTACATTCTCTATTATAACTTAAAATACTGTTTAATCAAATTAAGTAATTTGATTATAATTAACTATATTTAATATTATCATCAATTCTATATTAATATCCTATTTATTATTATTATGTTTAAATGTTTAATTAAGATTATAAATTATTATTAATGTTATAAATAACTTAAACTAATTATTAATTATCTAATATACTGGAATTAGTAAATACATGTAATTCATCGACTATCACATTATAATTATCAATAAATGAGAAGTTTAAAGAGTTTAAAAATGTAATCATTATTAATAGTAAGTGCAAGCCTTAGGTGTAGCGGAGTTGGGCTATAATTCCGTAATTTTACGGACGAGTCCTTCCGAGCTCCGATACAAGGCTTCCGATACTAAATACCGATATACAGCGCAGTTACCAGTGACCAGAGCCCCGAATGGGCTATTCATAAATACTGTGACGTAATAAATAAGCCATTCAAATATACCGTAATTCTTAAATAGTCTTCTAAATAGCAACCCATTCATAAATTACGTCACAGTTCCCTATCATATATACCCCACATTGCTTATTGCTTCGTAAAGTTATCTTTACGGGCTATTTGACGGTAAACCGTAAACCCGAACCGTCACATTTGGCGCAGTCGGCAGGATTGCAAATCCCTACCTATATTACCGACAATACTATTAATACCAGTCCTGCCTAACCATACAAATTTATTATTAAACAATTAAGTCACACATATACTTAATTGTTCACATCATTTATTATTTAAACTCTAATTTATTATTTCTATTATTAAAATATTATTATAAAATATTAAACTACAGTATATCTAAAGTCACTTAAGATTTAACACTATTAATAATACTTTATATATTTGTGACATAATACAACATTAAATATATATATAAAGTTTACTTTAAAATTTCATTACAAACATTTATTATACAATAACTTAGTAACCAATAGTTAAGGTTAATAGTTAAGGTTACTTATTTGAATTATAAACATTTAATACTCTTTATTATAAAACATTTATAACACTTAATTCTGTAACCAATTGTTAAAGGTTACTATATATATATATAACCATTTATATTATATCAATTTAATTACATTTATTATAAAAACAATTTAAACATTATTTAATTATGACTATCACTAAATATTCCGGTTATAATACCGATGTTAAATTTGAAACATGGCTCAAACTATACGAGCTTAATACACAACAAATGTCGGGTACCGAGCGCATACATCAGTTGATGTATAATTTAAAATCAATAGCTCTACAGTGGTACGCCGACGAGATTATGGACAATTATACGCAGTGGGACATCGTTAGATGTAAAATGCAATTACAATTCGGTACAGCCGATGTCCGTCAAACTAACCAACCAAAGACTGTACAACGAAAAGATAGGTATACCAATACTAAACAAAGTTTACTTTCCTCTGTTGCCAACACTTGTAATTACAATTCACGGCAACACTACAACAACACGGCATCAATGCACCTCGAAACCCTAAGAGATATGTTATCATTATATATTTGGTGCAAAGAACTAATACATACATCTAATAAATATAATCACGCGGTAAAACAACAAATAAATAACAATTGCGGCAAACAAACACCGTTAAAAGCTAACACACACAAAGAGTCATTTAACATACATAAAGCCGACAAAACAAATATCACTCAAACCGTCCCTCACACACATGACACCGAGCAAAGTCGTGATACTTCTCACAAAGCACTTAAGTCTTCGGTCGTCGCAACATTTAGCGCCGGATGCTTTTCACAGATAAGCCACGGACAGACGTCGTGCTCCTCCGGTCGCCTATCACTCACAAAGACTAGAACAAAAGTCTCCGACGGTAACAACAACAAGCCTCTACTACCATTGTCTGTACAGCTGGACATCAGTTTAAGCGGTTGTCAAATCTCAGACACCGATATGCTTAAGTTCCCTGAACGTTCAACATGCACACAAAACCTAGTCATGCTTTTGTATCTCAAACCATCCATCATCGGCATCTCAACACACAATCCGCTATATTTCAACCTAGACTTCGGTAAACGCTGTGATCGAATCTCCGACACAAATACGCGTACAACACTCGAAAGCTCTACGTTTGGTAATATTTCAATCACTGACTCTAAAACACAACAACAGCCGCCTCTACAAATACATAATAACCGCGCACATAATATCAATACCGTTAAAAAAATTAATAATTATTATCACATGTCATTACTGGACAATACATCAATTCATCGCAAATATGGCGATAAATATTATATCACACGCATGTCCATATATTTCCAACACATTAAAATGATTAACTATTTTGTCTTTATCATAATATCGCTACACTATCGACATATTCGATTTAAAGACTTTATTATTAAAGTTAACTTTAAACATCAATATAAAGAATCAACATCGCGCTCATCGTTACATAGAATTTTCTCCTATGTCGAAAATTCTTTTTCAACCGTAGAAGAATGTGATGGTTAAAACATCACTTAAGCGCTTCCAAAGACAAATTAAAATATAAAGTTAACTTTAGATATAACTAATTTATACTGTACATATTTATGCTATTATGTACATTCTCTATTATAACTTAAAATACTGTTTAATCAAATTAAGTAATTTGATTATAATTAACTATATTTAATATTATCATCAATTCTATATTAATATCCTATTTATTATTATTATGTTTAAATGTTTAATTAAGATTATAAATTATTATTAATGTTATAAATAACTTAAACTAATTATTAATTATCTAATATACTGGAATTAGTAAATACATGTAATTCATCGACTATCACATTATAATTATCAATAAATGAGAAGTTTAAAGAGTTTAAAAATGTAATCATTATTAATAGTAAGTGCAAGCCTTAGGTGTAGCGGAGTTGGGCTATAATTCCGTAATTTTACGGACGAGTCCTTCCGAGCTCCGATACAAGGCTTCCGATACTAAATACCGATATACAGCGCAGTTACCAGTGACCAGAGCCCCGAATGGGCTATTCATAAATACTGTGACGTAATAAATAAGCCATTCAAATATACCGTAATTCTTAAATAGTCTTCTAAATAGCAACCCATTCATAAATTACGTCACAGTTCCCTATCATATATACCCCACATTGCTTATTGCTTCGTAAAGTTATCTTTACGGGCTATTTGACGGTAAACCGTAAACCCGAACCGTCACAATTTTTTATATAAACTTAATTCTTATTTATTTTACATTTTATTTAATAAATTAACTGTATATATATAAAATCATTTGCAAAATAGGCGGAACTAGATTTTTGGGAATAGCTTCTCTCTGGATTGGAATTTTAGAAAAATATTTAATATGGAAATATGGTTTTCTGGGACGAATACATTAGTTTTCCTACTTTGTATGTATACTGGCACTGGTATGCTAGCACCGGGATGTTCGATATCTCATAAACTATAAGAGATAGCAAAATTCTTTAAAAAGCAAATTATACATCTTTTAAAATGAGTTGACACGTGTTTTGGCAATTTTTAAAATATTAATTAGTTTTTGTAAAAAATAACTTTATTCATTAAAAAATGAAAATTTCAAAATCTCATAAAATAAAAGTGTCAAGGTATTTTGTAATTTTGTTAATTTTAATAAATTCTATATTTAAAATAGAACAAATCACCTGTACATTGTAACTACCTAGCTCATTTCGTTTTAAAAATATTTACACATAAATGTTTTTACATACAAATTTTTATTAGCTATTGGTATTAAATTTATAAATTATGATAYAATACTCATAAATTATTATAATGGTAAAATAAATAATTATGAATAATTTTATAACTAAATGAGCTAGGTAGTTACAATGTACAGATGATTTGTTCTATTTTAAATATAGAATTTATTAAAATTAACAAAAWTACAAAATACCTTGACACTTTTATTTTATGAGATTTTGAAATTTTCATTTTTTAATGAATAAAGTTATTTTTTACAAAAACTAATTAATATTTTAAAAATTGCCAAAACACGTGTCAACTCATTTTAAAAGATGTATAATTTGCTTTTTAAAGAATTTTGCTATCTCTTATAGTTTATGAGATATCGAACATCCCGGTGCTAGCATACCAGTGCCAGTATACATACAAAGTAGCAAAACTAATGTATTCGTCCCAGAAAACCATATTTCCATATTAAATATTTTTTTTAAATTCCAATCCAGAGAGAAGCTATTCCCAAAAATCTAGTTCCGCCTATTTTGCAAATGATTTTATATATAATATACTGTCTAAAAGTATAATCAGACTATTTATTTATCATATACTGTATATACAACTGTATATTATATTATATTTTACACTATACCTACACACACACACACACACACATTATATAGATATAATGATAAGTTATAGTCAATAATTTAGCAAAATAAATATACCATTATTATATACTATTTATTTTTTTTTATTATTTGAAATAACAACGAAAAATATAACTGATGAAGTTTTGTGAATTTATTTCAAGTTTTATGAGGAAAATAATACATAGTGTATGTGTGTGTGTGTGTGTGTGTGTGTGTATGTGTRTGTGTATGTGTATGTGTATGTGTATGTGTATGTGTGTGTGTGTATGTGTGTGTATGTGTATGTGTATGTGTRTGTATGTGTGTATATATGTGTRTKTGTATGTGTGTGTGTGTGTATRTGTGTGTRTGTGTGTGTATGTGTGTGTAAATGTTTCATAAATTTTGTTTAGACTCAAATGCAATATACTAGTGATAAAGTATTATTATTATTATTATTTTGGTTTTTTTAACTAAGAAAAATAAGTTTTGCTATTATATTATTAGGTTTTTTTGTGTGTACTTCTAATGAATTAATAAATAACACTTTTATAACAATTTTATKAGACACTAATTGTATTATATATTTTTTAGTGGATACAGTATATACTGTATAAATAACTATAATAATTTAAATTTTTAAAGTATATTGTGCAACACATTTCTACTGTATTATTATTATTTATAATAATTTATATATGGATTATTTGCTTATCAAAATTTATTAGTCTATTATATTATTTGAACTGTATTTCTATTAGCTTTATTATTATTATTGTTATTATAATTGTTAAATATTTTCAACATTATGGACAACATATATGGAAAACTATTTGAGTTTCTATATTATATAAATTCATATAATAGCTAAATTTAAAATAATTAAAGCGTTATTAATTGTATTTTATGGAAAATTTTATATTTTTTAATGTTATTAGATATATATATATTTTTTAATTATCTAATTAACATTTAAGTGTATATTATATGTGTTTGTATAGTATTTTATATATTATATGGATAAATATTTATTATTATTTTTTTTGGTGATCAAAGTAATGTAAATTATAGATAGTAAGTGCTATTATTATTATTTTTATTTATATAATGTTTGTGATTAAATTAATTATGCCTAAATTTTTTTCACTCAAGTATTAAATTTTATTATATTAACTTTTGAATCTAATTATTATTATCTAATTGAAAACTATTTCAAACAACAACAACAAAATTTAATTGCTAAGCAATTGTTGTAAATTATTTAAATAGTTTTTTGTTTGTTTGTTAATACTTGAAGTATATATTTTTTMATTTATAGATTATATTAAATAATTTATTTARAAAAGAAATAATTTTTTAATAATATTTGTTATTTAAAAAATAATATATAGTATATTACCTGTCTATATATTATTAATAGTTTATACATTATTAAAAAAAAGTTAATTTTTATATTTATATATTGATATAATTTATAGATAATATTTTCTACTAAACGTTTGTTTGTATAACAGTATTAATAATAACAGTAATAATAATAATACTGTAATAATCATAATTATAATAAATGACAAACTTTTTTTTTAACAAATAAATTTAATATTTTTTTTAGGTAATAAATTTACACAATAAAAAAACTACATTATCTTTAATGGACAGTTTTAGATAACTTTGTATAATTTTATTTCTACATAAATCTATATAAAGACATTTATTTTAAATATAATAGTAAGAAAAAAATATTATAATAAATATTTTTTGTTGATATTTGTAAAAAATATATAACCTTAATGTTAATAATAATAATAATCAGTTTACCCATTGATATATCATATTTAATATAAATATTCATAACATGAATTGCCTTTTAGGCATTTTTTTTTGCTTATATAATATATTTTTGTCTCTTTTATCACTTCATTGTTAAACAAACAAACAAAAAATCAAAAATAATATCCTTGCAGTATATATGATATATTATATATATATTACAATACATTGTGAAAAATATTGACAAATATTTTTTTATTATTTAAAAAATCTAAGGAATATATGTATTTTATTTGAAGCATAATATATATATATATATATAGTTTTTATTTGCTTATATATATTTGTATAGACACACACAAAACAAACTAAATAAAGATAAATATGATATATCTAGGATTTTATATATAAAAATTTTTAGCTAAATAAATAATTTACATTATTATTATTATTGTCAAACATTTTTAAAAAAATGTTTATAACAATCAAATAATGTTTTTAAAATTACAGAATATTTATATTTATTATTATTTAAATACTTTTTAATATATTTTATTTTGCATTTATTGTTGAAATTATTTTTGTAAATATCTCATCGGCTTAGATGAATGATATTAATTTGTAAATACAATATATATATATACTCTATATATATATACTGTATATATATATACTGTATATATATACTGTATATATATATATACTGTATATATATATACTGTATATATATATATACTGTATATATATATATACTGTATATATAATATATATATATATATATATAAATTTTCCCATTAAAGGATCTGGATGTGTTAGATTGACAATAAAAATAAAGGATTCTGTTATATATATAATATAAATCTAACCAAACATTAGTTTACAATTAATAAAAATATAATAATATTAATATTTTCTAATATATATATGTATTGGTTAATATTCTACACCAATAATAGATTGTATAACATCCCTGTTCTCCTCCTCCCCCCCTCTATACTCTACTCTTAACTATTGATACTCTCAAGTGATTTAATTGAAATCTATGGACACAAAATAAATCTCTGTATATGTGCTAATGTTTTTAGATGCTATGTGTGTGTGTGTGTGTGTGTGTGTGTGTGTGTGTGTGTGTGTGTGTTTTAGTGTAGCTATTATTTTAATGTCAATATTAATCTTAAATCTCTAACACTGTGCCTTACAAATAAAGATACAGTGAGAGGTATGGGTTTTTTTGCAGATATAAATTTATATATATATATATATATATATTCTGTATAATGTAGAATAATTTGTAACAAAATAATCAATAAATACATTTAACACAAGAATATTCTGTGTCAACAGTTTTTATTGTTGTTGTGTTTTTGATTTTTCAAAAAAAACTGTTACTATTAGTATATATATATATATACAAGTTTTGACTTATAAATTGGCATAAATTTGTTTTGTTTTTTTTGTTGTAGTTGTTGTTTGATTAAAACAATCTAATATTTAATTTTATTATTATTATTATTATGAATTTAATTTATTGATGTCTACATATTGGCCATAGAAAATGCAATCATCAATTAAATTGTTATTTTATTTATATTTATATTTGTATTAATATATACTGTATTTTGTATATACCGAGAAATTTGATTATATTGTTTTCTATTTATTGTTTGATTAATTTATTATATTATAGACAATAATAAGTTATGTACATAATATGTAGTTCAATAGAAATACTTGATTTATATATATATATATATATATATATATATATATATATATATATATTTATATATTCAGTCTAACAGTAGTCTATGGCTATGAATAAATAATAGCACTAAACAATTTATTATATTATACAATAGTTTTTTTGTATATTAATTATTTATATATCGTATTAATTGGAAAGGGGAAAAAACAAACAAAATAAATAAATAAATAAATAAAATAGTTTTCTATATAATATATAAATACTGTATATCTATTATAATTAAAAGAAACTATTTCTAAATATCTTTGAAATTAAATTGAAATTTTTTTTGGAAACAATTTATATTTATATTTTATTTTATTAATAATACCTAAATGTTTCTAATTATATAAAAAAATTATTATTAATAATTATGTTATTTTTTTAAATGATAACAATTGTTATTATTATACCATTACTTATATATATATATATATTTTTCATCTATAGATGATTGAAGTTCCCATGAATTACGAGGACTCGTTATCAGGTGATGGCGGCGCCGACAATGAGGTGGCCTGCGGTGCCAGTGCACTGTTAACCCAGTCATCCAACGACAGTCACGATACATGCGGTGCCAACAGTTATCTATTGCGCGTGAAGTCTGGCCATCATAAGCGGGCGCCCGGATTTCAGGCCGAGTTTGTGTGCCTTAGCCCGTGGATTGACAGCCAGACGCCGCCATTCCGTATAACATCCCTATGCGTCAACTCATACGCTAACCTGTAAATCAATTATTTTTGTTTCTCTCTCTCTCTCTCTCTCTCTCTCTCTCTCTCTCTTAACATTAAATCCATAATTATTTATTTATTTAGTATTTTAATTATTATTTACTTTAATTCATATATTAAATATAATATATTGAGTTTACTGTATATATATACGATATATATTTATATATATAAAGTGTATTTTTATTATCTTATGTCTTATATTATATAAGTTATATATATGTATATTATATAATAAGTTAATGCTATTGTTGTTATAATTATGATTGCTATTGTAGTTGTTTAAATAATATATCCCTGTGTCCTCATTATTACTATTATTATTATTATTACCATTATTTTTTCTATCTAGGATTGCCTACGGAACGGAAAACAGTCTCATAATCATCGATACGATCCAAAAGTCGGCTGTGCTTAATGTGTCGACCAGTAATCTATACGGTAGGTGCTGCTGTCCGACATAATTAGACATAATCAGTACAGTACACCACATTAATGTATATTTGATTGATCAACATGTATGCTATATTTTCATAGTATGCATATAATGAGTTAGTTTTAAATACATTGATTGAGATTGAAAGTTATTTTTTAATTTAAAAAAATATGATTTATTGATTAATTGGTTTTTTTTGTTGTTGTTGTCGGTGTGTTCTGTATATGTGTGTGTCCGACACTACAGGTGCAGCCGATCCCTATCAGCGAACGGCGAGGTCAATGAAAAACAGGTCGACAGCAGGTGCTGGCGGTCAGCAGCAGTCAAATCGGGACACATTTGACGGCAATCAAAGCGATGCCGACCGGACCCGTTCGCCAACTTCTGATCAGGTAATATACCGCTAGCCGTAGATACATATGACCCTCTCTTTATTAGTACCGATTCCCCTTTACCCATACACACCCCTACTCACCCCTACACTCAAACACACAATTTATAACACCTAAAAAAATACTAACACCACACAAATAATTAATTAATTTACACGAAATAAAACCCAACTATTAATATATGAAAGACTAACAGTTAATTTTTTAAATTAACATAACGGATAATATTTTACTACTAACTAATCTAATTGTTATTAAGAGAAATTTTTTTTTGAAAATTATTATTAATGACTATTAATTTTTTTTGTCATTATTTTTTTGCTTCACATTTTTTTGGGATATACCTGTATATTATTATTATATAATGCGTGTGTGTGTGTGTRTGTACGGTATGTATGTATGTATGTATACAAGTATGAGGATAGCCGATCGCTAGCCGCCGACCAGTCAGTACCCAATACCCCCGTATCGCCGACACCACCACCACCGCCCACACCTACCGATCCTACATTTTCTATGTGTTCCGTCATTCCTCCCATTCCACCGCCGAGACTAAAGCGCAAGACTACTACTACTACAACAACAACAACCAGTTCGTCGTCAAACGTTTCGTCAAGCGATACGACATCCGTCAAGAGTGTCCAGAGTTGCGATGAAGTCACTGAACACACGCTTATGGAGGAGAAGGAGGAGGTGACTGATGAGGGAGATAGAGATAATACTAATAATATGGCCGATACCGATGCTGCGGTAAATTGCCAACAACTACTCACAGACAGTATTACCGCCGAAGCAATTGTCGAGATTAATAGCGGCGACCAAACTATTAGTTTTGCTAAAGTTGGCGAAACCTCACCGACGACACCACCTGTGCAAACAAGTGATGGTCAGCCGTCAGAGTCGTCATCGTCTCCGCCGACGACGACGACCATCAGTCAGAGGCCTAAAGACCTGAATCTCGATTCAATCCGAAAGACCAGCAAAACCGATGAATGTCTAGTCAGCAAAAACTTTAGTCAACCAACCAGTCCTTCAGCCGACGATAGCGACACAACCAGCACAACCACTCCAGTGTCAAGTGCTATGGCCAGTGAGCTATCGTCACCAGTCAGTGATACAAACTGTGATCAACAAAAACAGCACATGAGAAGCGCCAAACTCAGCCAAATCAAAGTCAACAACAACAGTAGCGGCAGTACAGCAGCAGCCGATGCCAAACAACAGAGAGCCGCAGCACCGGTATCTCATCATCATTTGCACCATTATCTCCATAAAAGCAAACACAAGATTAAAGTCTACGATATGAGACATGAAGACTGTGACGAATCATTGGTTTCCCGTTTAATTAGTAAGTCGTTTAGTGAACACCAAAAAAAAACATATAATTATATCTCTAATCTCATCTAACCGTCCACTCAAGTCATTGGCTCTGTGCGGCTCTCTCTCTCTCTCTCTCTCTCTCTCTATATATATATATATATATATATATATATATATATATATATATATATCAGCACTGGCTTTAATAACTAACAGCTCTCTATCTATCTATCTCTTACACAGCTTTAATTGATTAACTCACTCGGCATTGATCTCTCTCTCTCTCTCTCTCTCTCTCTTTCACATTCATTATTAGCTCTCTATCTGTCCAATTAATACCATTCCTCTCTCTCTCTCTCTCTCTTTCTCCCATCACTTGAAATATAGTCATTACTTTAATTAAAGCAAAGCAATACTGTTTTTTTTGTTGTTGTTGTGACTGTATGTATGTGTATGTATGATACGTGACTTTTTCACAAAAAAAAAAAAATAAAATAAAACATACCGTTTCTTAATTTAACTCATATAATACTCGTATAGACATTATAATATCGTATTGATATATTAAATTCATTAACACACACACACACACACACACACACACATACATACATACATACATACATACAATATTAAATGGATATACCTAAAAAAATTAATAATATACCCAGGGAACAAAATATATATACTAATATTATAAATTATTAGCACTATATGTATGTATGTATAATCATCGGAGATTTGAAACTGCAATCCCTATTACTATATTATTATTATTATTGTGTGATTAGTTAGAGTGCAATATCAATTCATATATGATATATCCAACAACAACAACAAAAAATATGTTATGATAAATCATATATAATATATAATAGTACAGTATATACAGTATAATAATGTCTCGGATTGTTGGTGTTGTTGCTGTTATCGATATCATTGGCCGCTCCTATGAATACATATACTCTCAGTCGGATTTTTTTTGTTGTTGTAACCGAAACATACTATACATACCATACCGTAATAATAACCGGATTAATGATTAGGGCCTAACATTTATAGCGGGGTTTTTTCCGGTCATGCTATTGTACTAATGGATAAATAAATAAATATAGATTTATATATTCATTGAAAAAAATGATATATCAATATACATATATTTTTATTTATTAGTAAAACATGTTTTTATATATTGAGTTATTTAAATGAATGATAATATAATATATATATATCATTACTTAAATTTATATATATACATAAAAGTTATGTTAGTATTTATTAGTAGTAAATTATTTTTCTACATTTGACTATTATTAATAACCACACAAAAAATCAATCAACAACAAAAAAAATAACTATCCATTGATTAGTCAAATGGTAGAAATCCATTTCAATTACCACAACACCAACAACAACAACAACGACAACCACAGCAAACACCACCACCACTACCACCTCCACCACAATCAACAACAACAACAACTACAACCACAACACAACAACAACAATATCCAAATCAGACCAAAGAGTTGCCCAAAAATGTCTTTAGCTATTCAACCGGTAATTATAATATTAATACTAATATTTTTCTCTCTTTTTTTCTCTCTTTTCTTTTATATATATATATATATATGATATTATGACTTCCTCTCTGAACTAAAAAAAACTAAATAATAATAAATCAAACGGCAAATTGAATGACTGACTAACCGATTGATTGATTCATTGATTGACTTACTAACTGACTGACTGACTGATTGACTAACAAACCGCTTGAATGCCTTATATTATTATTTTTATTTCAAATGAATGCCACTATTTCATCGAAAACTTTATATATATATATATATTAAACAAACAAAAAATATATTGATATAAATTCACATTCACCTATAAAAACCTATTCAACAACAAAAATGCTTACCTGTGCTGCTGTCATGGCCTGAATTGCTAATCAAACACACACACACCTACWCATACATACACACAAACACACAACACAACACATCACACCTACAACTATWCAACAAAATCAGATTAACGGCCTGTGTCTGAGTCCGACAACCGGTAAACAACAACAATCGCTAACGGGTATCGGCGGCGGCGGCTTTGGTGGCAGCGGCGGACAGTTGCCAATCGGGTCGGTCTCGGCAACGGTCCGGAAGCCGATAACACCCGAAATGAAGCGGTCACGATCGCAAGGTACCCGAAATAAGTTACAAAGAATGCATACAATTCAGTGTATGGCGCCCACCACCACCACCACCAATGATGAACAGACTGTCCTCCTAATGAATTATTGCAGTCTCAGCCAAGGATCAGGTGGCTTACCATTTGTGTGTCTCCTAAAAATATTAATGTCTTATATAAAAAAAACTATAGATGTCTGTGTCTTTCAACATTTGCTATCGTTGGACACCATATTTATAATCATATATATATATACACACCTGTTGTGTCGTTTAACTCTTGAATAGCACAGCACACCTATATATATATATATATGACATATCATACAATAGTTATGATATCTTAGTTGTAGTAGTATTAGTGATATTGGCTATTGTTTGTACTGTAGTAGTAGTTGTAGTAGTAGTAATAATAGTAGTAGTTTCACATTAATAACCCAAATATCACTGTTTTATATACACATATTGTGGATAAAAATCAATATAAATCACAATTTTCTATTATATATATATMTATATATAAACAGTATTATAAGCTAAAAATTAGATGATATTTCACACACACACACATACACACAATCATACCATAACATACACTTTAAACTACAATATATATATATATATATATATYTACACATAGCATACATGTTTATGTCATTGTAGTTATGTTTGTGACCACTGTTGATGATGATGATGATGGACCAGTAGATACCACAACAGTAGTTTACTAACTATCGATATTTATATCCTAAACTATATATATACTAGAAAAAATTGATTATTATTATTATTATTATTTKATAATATAGATAATTTATATTATGGTTATACTCTATTCCCCCCCCTATTATATACACACACAATCACACAAATGATAATACTATGTTTAATAATAACCCAATCATATATATATATATATATATATATATATATATAGTTCAATGCACACATAATACATACATAGCAAACAATCAAAATATAATAATAATAATAWTAAGTCCTGTAATCTATAAATAGTCTCTTTTTCACTGATGATGAGCCACTCAATCCCTGGTATTATTGCACACAATTTGTTGTCCTTGTTTTTCATTTAAATTTATTATATATATATATTAATATAATAATAATAATAATACTATACATACTGTATTATAAATAATAATACAGTAAATAGTATATAATTATTTTTTTTTAAATAAAATTAATATATGGTTATGTTTGCAATTTATTTTTGTATTTCTATATTATTTGCATATGTAAATTATGAATGATTTTTTTTAGTAATTAATTAATTTTGTTTGTTTGTTTGCAAATTGCATTGCATTTATATATCTATATATTTATAGTATTGATTGGTATTATAATATTGGTTTTTATCTAAATGTGCAATAATTAATTTTTTAAAATTTTATATTTTTTAATATGTGTGAGTTTTAATATTTTTACCAAAAAAATACAAAAATAAAATATTTGTACATTAATTGTCATTTTGTGTGTGTGAGTGTTGTTTGTATTAATTGATTTATTTAAATATCTAATATATTTGATATTGATTTTTTARATATATTAGTTTTCAATTATTATGTTAAAAAATATTGTGTGTTAATTTKTTGTTGTTTTTGTATATTTTTAATTTAGCAATTACTATAATATTAACTATAATATATTGAATATCTATTTAATTATTTTAAACTTTCAGATTAAGTTAAGTTAATTAAAATATTTTTTTWTTTTTGTATGATTTATAGGATTATTTAMGTTTATATTTATAGTTATTATTAAGCTAAACATTTTGAATATCAAATATCAATGTTTTATCAATATTAATAATACTTTAGTTATTAGTTATATATTTATTTTCATAAATAATATATTATAAWTATTATATCAGTTATAGATTAATATAAAAAATTTGTGAATATTATAATTTTTTTTATATAAATAATTAAAAATATATTAATACAGATATCAACAATAGAAATAAGATTTATGGATAATATAAGCAAAACATTTTTAATCAATAGATATTATCATACAATAAGTACTATAAATAATTTAATTAAAATAAATTATTTGATATTCAATATTCTCTATATATATATATATAAATATTTTTATAATTTGAATGATTTTTTGATAAATATTTTGCTATTTCAGTGTTTTTTTCTAATTAAATTTCAATATTTTTTTGTCAGTAATGTATGTAAAATAATACTTTAATATAAGTTTTTTACTTTTTTAAGTCTAATTTTATAAAAAGTACAATCATTATAAATCCAATTATATATTTTTAATGTTTTTTTATTTTATTTTTTATTATTATTATATTTGCATTTAATTTATTTCATCTTTGATTTTAGTTTTATTTTTGTTGCACTGGTTTTTTTGTTCATTTCATTATTATAACATTATAATAATAAAATAACATTTAGTTTTCAAATTTTTTAGTTTTATGTCTTAATAAATTGTGTATATATTATATATATATATTATATTATTAAACTATAAATTTAATTTTGCATCAAAAAGCTTAGTTTGCATTAAATCCCATTTGTATTATATATATATATATATATTATACTTATATGTTATGTAAGATATACTATTGACATATAGTATATATATTTTAAAATATTTTATTAATACTCTAATGTAATTATTGTTTATTTAAGAGTCACGCAATTTGTTAAATATGATAATATAAAATATATAGAATTATAGTATTTTCAATTTTTAACCATTTTTTTCTCTCTCTCTCTTTATTATATATGCATTTATATGATTGCTTTATTTTCGCTTTTTAATTTCAAAATATATATCTAAATACTTGAATATTTATTACTCAAAAATAATTATATGTAAAATGATTTTTATAGTTGTTGTTGTTGTTGTGTAATTGATAATTAATTTTTATTTATATGATATCTATATCTATATGTGTGTGTATGTATGTAATTTATATAATTATATAAATAATTTTTTTGAAAAAAACTATATGTCATGGCATGATAACCACAATATTGATTGTTTGTTGTATACTATTTGTTGCATATAATACGCGCATATATCTAATCAAATGTTATACAATATATTTAAATTAAAATTTATTATTATTATTTCAAATTTTAATTAATTAATATTTATTTTTATTTTCTCGTTTTTTTTCATCTTCGTCTAAATTATCTAAATTGATAATTTGCGTCCAAAATAAATAAATAAATAAATAAAAAATTACAGATAAAATCGACAGCTCATTCTCCCGGAGCCGGAGCTCCAGTATCTCAAGCCTCGAGAACATTACCATCGAATCGATACTTTATATGGCTTTTGCCGAAACCTACTGTAATAAGTCAGGTAATAGATATAGATATATATGTATTTTAGGTATAATATATCGATCTATATGTATATATATATATGTTTGATAATTGACAGCTCATTAGATATTATTGTATGGTAAAAAAATAGAGAGATTGAGGGGACAGTTATATAAAAAAAACATATATCCATACTCTCGATCTACTACTTTATTATCTCTCATACTATATCATAATTTAATAGCTTATACAGTATATATTTATATATCATATAACTAATACTTTATTAATTTTGTTTTTACAAACACATACACTATCAACATATCAYAYACACATACACACAGACTTAACTACCAGTCCATGTCTTTGGGTGGGAACCAGTCTCGGGTCGGTTCTAGTGATATCATTGACATTGCCTGACAGCGCCGATAATCGCATACTATGCCTGCAAACGGTTATTGCCGTTCCCAGTGGTAAGTCATACATATATTTCTGATGATTTTTATATTAACGATATTTAGTAATAAATATATATTAAATATAAATTGTCTAAATTAAAAGATATATTAAATATAAATTGTTTAAATTAAAACAATGTATTTATGAATACAAAATATTTTATATAACTATACATTTTTTAAAAATTTAATTAATATTTTTGATAATTATTAATGATTACATATAAATTATTTTGTTTACAATCTATCAACTAGTAATTAGGATAAAATCAAATTAATTTTAGTAATATTTATTACTGAATATTTTTGTCTTAATAATTTATATATATATATTTATTTATTTATTTATCTTTTAGCAAAAAATATATATAATAAAATATATTGCGATWARCATAATAAAAAAAATAATTTGTGATATAATTCCCACTTTATCTTAATCAACATATAAGTTTATAAATTTATATATATATTTATTTATTTCCAATGAATAAATTAATTTTCTATAATATATGAGAGTGTAGTTACACTTATATATAATGTTAATATAAATTTATATATAAGTGTAATATTGTTAACATAAGATATATATATATAAATTATTAGTATGTATATACTGTACTCTRTATATAATTTATATATATATATATGTTGATTAAATTATTTATAAATGCAATTTTATTACTTACTTACTAAATACTAGATCTATAATATAATATTATTATATACTGTACTGTATTAAACAGAGAAATAAATTATTGGGAAATCTTTTAATAAGATCTTTACTTTATTTTTATAAATTAAATATTATATATATATATATATATATATATATATATATATATATATATAYAYAYACACACTGTATATATGCACTGAATATATATTATATATTTAATATAAATAGATAAAAATGTGTTAATTTTAATCTATTAATAAATTTCAAAACAATTACTCAATAAGTTGGCTGATTGTCGAGTTTTTTTAATACAGTATATTATTTACTTATAATAATATACATGTATATATATATATAATATATTTAAAAAAAACTCGACAATCAGCCAACTTATTAAGTAATTGTTTTGCAATTTATTAATATATTAAAATTAACACATTTTTATCTATTTATWTTAAATATATAATATATATTCAGTGCATATATACAGTATGTGTGTGTGTATATAAAATATTTATTTTATAAAAATAAAGTAAATATCTTATTAAAGATTTCCCAATAATTTATTTCTYTGTTTAATACAGTACTATATACTGTATAGTATACAGTGWATACTAATAATAATATTATAGATCTGTTATTTAGTAAGTATTAAAATTGCATTTATAAATAATTTAATATTAATATATATATAATTAAAGTCATAGTTTATTTTTTACATAAATTACTGTATATTATATAATAGTTTTCAAATTTATGAATATTTATTTTGGATAAAAAAATAAAATAATAATAATTTATATTTTTTTACCATTAAATTACTCATTCAACAGGAGGTATATATCGTCTAAAGGGATCAATACTTTGTATATCGTTTCTGGATTTTACGGGAGCCGTACAACAGCTGAACGCCGACGCCTGGAGAGACAGCTCATCCACCAAACCGGGTAATACTACGCCCGGTTCGACCGCATCRTCGGACAGCAAACGTAATCCGGGTGGCGGTGGCGGCAGTCTGTCCATTACGCGGACAGGCAGCAGCAGTGGCGGTCCCGGTACGCCTACCGGTATCGGTGGCAGCGGCGGCAGCAGTAGTGGTCGCAACAATAAGGTATCGCCGACGTCTTCCTCCACAGACATGCGTGACCCGCAGTTTGTGGTTATGGTTTCCGAGAAACAGATCCGTTTGGTGACACTTCCGCAGCAAACGTGCGCCTATAAGGCAACGCTCACCGAAACGTCGTTTGCCGTTAGGGCCGATGTTGTCTATATGAGAAGCGCAGGTATGTGTGTGTGTGTGTGTTGTATGATTTCCCTATTTATTGCGGGAACAGTAGTTATCTAATCTCTAGTATTTATGTTATCATTTAAAAATCAATTGTTTTATTTTTTTGTTTGTTTGTATGTGTATTGAGATTTATTTTTTTATATATATACTGTATAAATGATATGTTAGGTTATGTTTACCCCCGCCTCCAAAAAATAACAATTAGTTTTTTTTTGAAGTAAAAGTTAATTAAATTAAATTTAACATTATTAAATTAATTAATTAGCAAATTGTTGTTTAGGTTAAATAGTTGTATAAAATAGCTACATTATATACTGTAGATAAAATTAACATTAAATTATTAATTTAATATATTATTATAAATTAGTTTTTTTTGTATACAGTATATTACAATATTATTATTGTTTTTTAAATTTTTTTTGCAAAWTCCAATCCACACGATTAGGCTATTTATTCAACACTATTGAGACCTATTTTTCTCACTTAGATATATTTATCCATTTATATATATATATTGTCTATCATTATATTTTATATATCATAACATACAGAATATTCTGTAAATATATATAAGTGAAAGTGAGTGTGTTTTATAGCCGTTAATAGAATATTCTATTATCTAATTTATTATTATTATTATATAATATATATATAATAGAGAGAGAGAGAGAGAGAGAGAGAGAGAGAGAGAGAGAGAGAGAGAGAGAGAGGAGAGAGACTATATTACTGAAAATACTCTATTATTTTATATATTTATGTTATTACAGACTAATACTATTTTTATTTTTATTTTTATATAGATATACACACTATATTAATATATTATAAATGATATATATTGAAGTTATTGTGTGATTTAATATTTAGTTTTTATTATACTATATTATATAAATATATATATATATATAATTTATATATAAAAATTATAGTTGTATGTATTGCTATCTCTCTCTCTCTCTCTCTCTCTCTCTGTTAAAACACTACTAACTCCTCCATCCAAAAATAAAAATCTCATTTACAGATAGCATATGTTTGGCCGTGTATTTAGGCACCGGTAATATAGTAGTATATAGCCTTCCATCGCTTCGGCTGCTGATTGATATCGATTTTCTGGCTCTAACTGATGTCAGGTATGTCTACTATTTTTCATCTGGAAATAATAATAATAATAATACTCTATGTATGTAATGCACTAGTATTTTCACATCCCTGTCCCYGATGTCTATTAGCTGTAAAGTTTTTAGTTTTGAGCTGATTTTTGAGTGACATTTCAAATATATAACTCTAGATATAAATGTATGAATATATATATATATGAGAAATAGGCTTTCAAACTAATATATAATATATATATTATATATATATACTATAAATATACAGTACATATACTTTATATATATGTATAGTGTGTATATTATCATTTTAATGTACCTTATATTTGATGGAATGTAAGTATAATATTATATATATATGCCTACTATTATTAATGGCATATAAAAATCATAGCTAATATTGAATATATATAAATTTATATACTATTTGAGTGACATTTTTTTGTGCACACTATGTATGTGAAAATCAACACTTTTTTTGTGTGTATTGTATGAATTAATGGGTATATGTGTTCAAATGTATAGTAGAGTACAGTATTAATATTTTTTGTCGATATTTAGGTGAATAATAACAGGAAATCTATAGGAAATTTCAGGCGTTTTTTTGTTGTTGTTGTTACTGTTATTTATTTTTGTTCACTACATTCACAAATGTGCCTTATATTATGCCAAATACAATATTATATATATATATATATATATATATTCTTACATTTTAAACATTATAATATTATACTAAACACACACACACTTTAGTATTGATTTCTACTGTACATTGAGCTATACATTTATAATAATAAGTGCTGGGCTTTTAAAAATGTATTTATAATATATATGTATAAAGTATTTATATATTTGTGTGAATAAAAAGATGAATATAATATAATATATTTATAGATATATATATATATATATATATATATATATATATATATATATATATATATATATATATATATATATATATATATATATAGATTTATTAATATATATATATATAGGAAATTATGGATATTTTATGAATTTTTTTGGTAAATTTTTTTTAATATATGTATAATAATGTCTGTGCTATGAATAGTAATGACAATAAAGGAAATGGCATTTTTGAAAAGTTCAAAAAATTTATCATTTTATTCACACATAATTTTTTTTTAAAAATTATAACTTTAAATTTTCATTATTATATTATGGTTATTATATATTTTTACAGAATATTCTGTATATATATATATATATGAAAAATATAAAACCAATATAATAACCATTTTTTATATTATTAGACACATAACACACATATATATAAAAACAATTTATTTTTTTTGTTAATTTATTTTCTATAATAAATTCGTTGATAATTTATAGATATATTTCCTATTCATCTCCCATTCCCGCCAAAAACGATAGGATTGCCCGCACAATATGTTTCAGTGCCAACGGTCACGGGATGTATATGTCGTCGCCGTCGACTCTAACAAAGTTTACAATATTATCGTCGTTTCGGTCGCTGGTGGCCGACATGACTGGTACACTGTTTACAGCGGCCAAAGAACTACCCGAACCGCCAAAACCGACATTTTTGAAAAGTTTGTTCGGCGGCGGTTCGGGTACACTGGACAGAGAGGAACTGTTCGGTGAAACCAATTCGGGTAAGCCATCGAAAACAACGGCCCGACACATACCYGGAGCGGCTGCCGGTACCGAACAATTGAGACAACAGGCCAATGTATCGTCTAATGAGATGGCAAGGCTGCGTGAGGTAAGCCATATYATCCGATTTGATTGATTGATTGATTGTGTCTAATGTCTGTCTATGTGTGTGTGTGTGTGTGTGTGTGTCAGTGATTGATATATTAAATATATAGATATATGAGAAGCGCGTGTATTGTTTGTTGTTATCAATACGTTATTTTCCCGGTTTTATATTCTCTCTCTCTCTCTCTCTCTCTCTCTCTCTCTCTCTCTCTCTCTCTCTCTCTCTCTCTCTCTCTCTCTCTCTATTCAAAGTGATGTTGATTTTCTTTTTGCTCAACAAATAATAAAATCCATTTTTCTGGGCCTTTTAAAAGCCATCATCAATAGTAGTAGTAGTAGTAGTAGCTCTCAAAAAAAAGTTATCGCATCGATTGGATCTGTCAATAGGATTGTGTGTGTGTTAAGAGTAAACTTTTGATGAGTGAATGTGTGTGTGTGTGTGTGTGTGTGTGTGAGAGAGAGAGAGAGAGAGAGAGAAAATAGAGACTTTTAAAGAGATGGTTTCAAATGGGTTTTTAAAAGCAAAATACAAAACTATTGAAAATAACCAAAATCTTGAGTCTCAATAGTGTCATAATAGATCTACAGAGAGAGAGAGAGAGAGAGAGAGAGAGAGAGAGAGAGAGAGAGAGAGAGAGAGAGACTATACTGTATATAATATAGATATATAGATCCAGTGATAGACATTAAATGTCGACAAATATATCCCAGTTTTTCACTTTTAGATGTTTACTGGTGTGAATACCTCAGAGCTTAGGGATATAACGGGGGGAATACGGCCTTAAAATTTTTGTTTGTCACACATCACTAGCATCATTGGCAATATAATCGGCTCCGGGAGCTCTCAATCTTATAGACTCCTGATATTTTGTCAGTTTCTGTGTGTGTGTCTATGTGTTTGTCAATACAGGTACTATTCCTCTCAATCAATTGGTAAAGACATCCATTTAGTTAGTTTAGTCTAAACAGTGATTTTAATGAACTGTTTGTTCAAAATAGTGGCACAAATATCTATACAATTGTTTGCTGCTGTTATAAGTATATTATAAATAATATGTTAAAATCACCAATAGATATATCACAAGTAATAGTTTCTAAATAGTGAATTGAATTGCATTACTAAGAAATTCAATGTAAATATCAATATATATACAGAAATTATATATAAAAATATCTTGAATACTATTGASAGTCTATATATTGAAATACTTTAGATGTTTATTATTATTATTATCACTGAAAATAAATTAATTTCTTTACTATTTAATTGTTAATTTGCTATACACTTCAAATTTTCAAGAATATATTCTGTACTTTTATATATATATATATATATTTATATTAAAACATAGTATAACATGTGTAACATTTGTATATAACATACAGTATACATGTGTATATAATAAATATATTAGATTTACATTATATGTCAAATGTTTGTGTATGTATTTGTTTAAAATAGAGAGAGAGAGAGAGAGAGAGAGAGAGAGAGAGAGAGAGAGAGAGAGAATCTATAACTTATTTTTCAATTTATAATTAATTTCTCATTTTGTTTTGTATTTTGATAGGTCCTGTCCGAGCGCGGCGAAAAAGTTGCCCAATTGGAGGACAAGACTGCGGCCATGCGGTCAGATGCCGAAGCATTTGGTTCGGCAGCACATCAGGTGATGTTGAAGTACAGGGACAAGAAATGGTACCAATTTTGAGACACAGACAGACAGACATACAGACAGTTGTGTCTAATTTTTTGAGAAACGCGCAAATCATCCAAATAAAAAAAAATTTGTTTTGTATCGTTGCCATCAACTAATCAATTTAGTCAATCAAATCAAATCAATTAATTAATTCACACACAAACAATACATATACTGTTCAATAGTTTTACAGTATACATCAAATTACATATATATACGCAAACACATAGCCTACCTGTGCTGGATGATGGACACAGTAGAGAGAGAGAGAGAGAGAGAGAGAGAGAGAGAGAGAGAGAGAGATTGAATAATTAAAATAAAATCTATTGTCTAAACAATTGTTCAAAAATTATCACTTGTTGGGCAAATTACATACAAACAACAAAATATTATACATTTATATTGCGATACTATATTTGAATCTTTAGGTCAGTTGACTGTGTCGTCGGTGTTGTTGTCAAACACCACTATTATTATCATTATTATTGCAGTCATCGTCGGTAATCATTTGCCAATCATTTTAATTGGTAAGACATCGACACGATCTCTCTCTCTCTCTCTCTCTGTTTCAATCACTCCCGAGAGGTGACCTAAAAGACACCAACAAACAAACAAACAAACAAATTAAAAAAATAGCGAAACTAATTGATTACAAAACATATATATATATATACTGTATATTAACAACAAGTGATTCATTATATCATTAAATTGATTGTTTGTTTTATTATTTTTTTTTTGGATATACAATTGAGAATCTATTGTATTTAATAATAAATTTGTTTTATATATTTGAATGCAAACATTGACAGCGAATTGATTTATTATTATTATTATTTGTGTAGTTGTTGTGTAAAGGCATACCAAAAAAAAATTTTTTTTAATATAAAAACAACAATTATTTATTATATATATATAAAATATTATTTAAATTTTTTCTCATTACTAAATTTCTAAAATTGTTTTTTTTGTCAACAACTTGAAAGTGATATAAGTTTTAGGAGAGAGAGGGTTTTGTGTTGTTTTTTATTAAATTATTTTGTAGAAAAAAATGTAATAAAAAAATTAAATATTAATAGATAAATAAAAAATTTGTTATACATTATTAGATTCAAATACAATAGAAATAAATATATTGAATATATATATATATATATATATATATATGAATTATTACAATATACAGTATATTCAACTAATTGTACAATTTTTTTGTTAACAAACAAAAAACCCACAAAGAAAAAATAATTATATATTAAATAATATATATATATGTTATTTGTTGAACAAAATGATATGATATTATTATTATTATTATAGTTTAAATAAATTATTAACAATTATTATCATTATTATGAATATTATTATTATTATAATTATTAGATAATAACAATTAGTGATAACCAATGAAATGAACACCAAATGTCTATCCAATTATCTACAGTTATATAATTTATTTTAGTTTAGTTTATTATTATTAATAATATTATTATCAATTATTATTTGTTTGACAATCGATTTTATTAAATGTTTGTAATCATAATAATAATAATAACAATAATAACAATAGTAACAAATTCAAAATCAATATTGCTATTCAAAATGTTATAATTAAATTTTAGTTAATTTAAGAAATATTAATTTATATATTATAATTTTTGTTTAAATAATTATAAATTTAATAAGATTAATATTATTAATTTATTTTCATAAGTTTTAATTATATTAAATCTACAGTATTATCAGATATGTTAGTCAACAAAACACATTAAACATACACTTATAAAATAAACAATATTATAATATAAATAAAATTTTTGATATCAATAGTAGTTTTTAAATATATCTATAAATATATTTAACAAATCTATCTTTTGTTGTATTGTTATTTTAAAAAAAACTGTTATGTATTGCAATGAAAATGATTGTACAGTATTTGCCTGAAACACAAAAAAATCAATTATTATTATATTATTATATAATTTAATTTTGAAAATGTATTTTATATTAAAAAAAATTAATTTGATTTGATTTTTGTTAGTGTCATCAATAATTTTATTTTTTAAGTGTTTTAAATTGATAATATATTTTTTATTATTGTGTTTTTTTAAAAATATTGTTTTAATAAAATTATTTTTAATTTTTTTCTTATTGTTGATTTGTTATGAATTATAATTTACATTATATTTTTGTTTTGTATTATCTAATTGAAAATTTTTAATATGATTATTGCTATTTTATTTGCATAAATGTACAGTAGAAAACATATTAATAATAATGATAATAATAATAATAATTTTTAAATTTATTAGGAAAATATTTGTCATATTTATAGAGAGAGAAAAAATAATAATTTATTAATAAATTTAATTGATTGTTGAAACAATTCAAATGTATACTGTATTTAGCAAACAAAATGTGTAATTGAAATTCAAAACACTATATATATATATATAAATTTTTGTACAAATTATTATTAAGAAAAAAACATAAAAATAAATGTTAATAAAAAAATTACATTAAAATACAAACATACAAAATACACAACAACAACAACAAAAATCAAATTTTATAAATAATATATTTAACAAAAATATGAGATAAAATGTGTGTGAAATCAATTTTTTGACAAAAAAAACATTTTTGTTGATAATATGAGCTCAATAGATATGATAACAATATATAATAATAATAATAATATATAATCCGATAAATTAAATGATGCAAAATAAACAAAATAAAACCCCATTTTAAATATTTAAATGTATTTATAGATATTTTGTTATTATTATTATTAATGAAACTATCACTAATACAATAGAGGTTTATATTATTTGGAAACTATTATTATCTAAAACAGAAAAATAGTATTTGAAAAAAATTAATTAAAAAAAATTATCTACAAAACTATACAGATTTAAACAAACTATTATTTATATAATGATTTTATTTTACATTTTAATTTTAAACTTTTATAAACAGTTTTTTTAGATAGCATTTAATTACACACACAAAAAAACTGAAAAAATTATATTTAGATTTTGCATTATTAGATGATTGATTATTTAGTAAATTGGTATGTACCCTGGTACATTTATAGATATATTGTACAAGGTACATTGGCACATTGTACATTGGATATGTGTATAATAAGCAAGTGATAATAATAATAATAAACAAAACAAACAAACAAACAAAATAATGATTTAAATTAATTGATAGACAATATTGATTAAAATTATTTGATAGAATTGTTTAGTAAAAAAATAATAATAATACAAATAAAATTTGTTAATACAAAATGAGGTATTTAAATTTTCAAAAAAAAAATAATAATTAATTAATAATAATTAATAAAATTGTGATAAACTATTTATATTAATACATGTATATCTTTCAAACAAATATCTGACTTTTAATTTAAATATTAGTTTTCAAAAAAATATATATATATTATAATACACAAGACAAATAAAAAAACACACCAAAAAAAACATTTTCAAAAAAATTTAGTTAAAATTATATTAGTATAAAAATTATATAATTATATATATAAATATAATTAGGTATTTAATTATATTATTATTATAATTATTGTTATATATATATATATATATAATTGGAAAAACTATTGTAATGCAAGTTATTTGTTTTGTAAAGTTATAATTATTATTATTATTATTGATAATATTTTATGTAATGTTATTGATCTATAGTTAAGACTCCAAACAAACAAACAAATTATATAAAAATTAAAAAATAAACAAACATTAAATAATAAAAACGATTGTTAGTAATATTATTATAATTATGTCTATTATTTAATTATAAATTATAATTTCAATGAATATAGGTTTATATTAATTTTTGATTTTAAAATAAAAGCCTACAACAAAATTTTAAAAATATTTATTTGTATTATTTATTAATGTTTGATAATTTTTAAAAAAATTTTTGTCATTCATTAAAAATATATATCAATTTTTTGATATACTTTAGTAAATGTAATTACTATACTAATCATAATTATTATTATTATATTAATAATAACTGAAAATATTGTTTTATTTTCATCAGTAAAATCGTTAATAACATCATTAAATAAATATTAGTAAATTTGACGACTAAATAATTTAATCAAAATTTTTATACCATTAATCAAAAAAAATAAAAACACTGTTTAGACAACAAAATTGTTAATAAAATAGTTTCAGATATAAAAATTAATTTAATAATTAATTTTCTTTACAAATAAATTACAAAAAAAACAAAAATCAGCGATTTTTTTAGTATCAGTATTATTATTGAAAATTACAAATAAAATAATTTAATGTCAAATAAATAAAAATAAATGATTAAATAATTAAAATACTACATCAACAAACAAACAACAAAATTATATAAATATATATTTGTTAGCCCTTTCCGTGATGTCCCTTTCCATGGTATCCATGTTTGGGTGCATGATTATAGTCCTATAATTTAAAAAAAATATTATTATTATTATTGTAAATTATTATAACCAACAACAAAAATAATGATTAATTAATTAATTTAATTAATTAAGTATTTTTTATGTTTAATTATTCTGATAAATAAGGCATAAATTATATATATATATATAACTAACCCAATAGTGCTCGCCATGACCTCCCTTTTTGTCACTCCATCTTAATTTAGTTTTAAATTGATGTCCCTTTCCCTGGAAAATAAATAGATTTATAAATTTTAAAAATAAACCCAAAAAAATTGTGAACCGTTAGATTAAACAAAAATAATATTATTTAATTATTATTTAGTATGTGTGTGTGTATGTATGTATTTGTGTATATGTGTGTATATATGTGTGTTTATGTATGTATTTGTGTGTATGTATGTGTGTGTATATATGTGTGTGTATGTATGTATTTGTGTGTATGTATGTGTGTGTATATATGTGTCTGTATGTATGTGTATGTGTGTGTGTGTGTTTGATTTAGTAAACATTATTTACTGTTATTTATTTATTAGTTCAGGCGCTTATGTAGTCTGGAAATATAAATCACTTTAAATAATTGATCACAAGTTAGACAACAACAACAACAAAAATCACACATCAAATGGCTGTCCCTATCAATCGATACATACAATCAATTTGAATGAATGACTACTGATTTGAATGGCTTATAAATGTTTGAAAATCTTGAATGAAAAATCATTTATTTTTTGTTAAGAGAGAGAGAGAGAGAGAGAGAGAGAGAGAGAGAGAATATGATAAATATATATTGAAATAAGTTTTTTTTCAGTTTATGCACACAATTTATTTGCGATTTTTATCATCAATTTTATTGCATTTTAAGTATTTAAAAAAAATTCCAGAAAAAAGAGTCACAAAAAATAAAATAGTTTTTTTATTTTATTTTTTTCTAACACTTTAGTGTTATGTGTGTGTGTGTGTGTGTGTGTGTGTGTGTGTGTGTGTGTGTGTGTGTGTGAGTGAGTGAGTGAGTGAGTGAGTGAGACACACTGTCTGTGTCGCCCCTCCATCAATATAAATTTTTTTTGAGTGATATCTATTTATGACATAACCTATAGGCATATATATAAACGTATAGATGCAGTATATATATATATATATATATATATATAAGATAG